CCCGCCCGAGTACCTTATACGTACCTAAAAGTACTTTAAGGTACTTCAGTACCCGAAAGTTCCTGTGACATACTAGTAGCAGGGTACTTTTTCAGGTACCCTTAGCTCAGTACATTCACTAGGGATACTTTCTCCTTCGAATCAACCACACGTTCTCAGCTAACACTAATCGTACAAATTTGGGGAAAAGATCATTCGAGGGTGCAAGAGAGGTAGATGAAACAGCTGAGCTTATATTTTCGATACATATTTTAATTATTAAGTAATGAGTCTCACAAGTTGAGCATATTTTCCATAACTTTTCTGTGAGATAATTATAGTCACGTGTTACTTATCATTCTATACTTCTGTATAGTTTGATGCATTTATACCCTGAAACATTATTACCGATAGAATGCATCATATGTTTACTGCTAGAGCATTGCAGTGTTCTAATCGTATTTAAGGGATTCAAACAATCTTCCAATCTGCCCGTAGGGAAGTTGGCATCTAGTTCTTTCTTTACGTCGACTGAGTGAAACAATGTCTGTTTAGTTTCGAGCGTTGCCTAGCAAAATTCTTCTTTCTTTCTGTCTTTCTTTCCACACTGCTTCTTCTTGATCGAGTTAGACGCTCGTTCTCGGTTATCTCTGATCGTACAGATTTCCGGAAAAGATGTTTCGAAAGTGCAGGCATTGTAGATGACACATCTGAAGTTAGTTTTCGGATATTTGCTTTAGTTATCATATAATAAGTGTCATAAAATGAGTATATTTTTTCTAGAAAACTGCCGTTTCTGCTTTGAGATAAATAATCGTCAGGTGTTTCCGTTCATACTGAATATATGCTACACTGTTTATGATACGATAAAAGCTATACATGCAAAACGCGTAACTTTGCTACCGGAATCTCTATGCGTTACCGTTTTTTCTCTTTTCGTCTATCCTGTAATATTCGGAAAGAATACCCATGTAACTTGGGTGCGTCTGAAGAAACGCGTCTGGACGCGGCTAATTTTGAAAAAACTTGGCAAACGCGTTAAAACGCGCCCTGTACGAACGCGACTAAACGTGTTTTAGAACTTTTTCTTGAAAAAACGTGTAATCACCCGTTTTATTTGGTATTAGTGAGCAAACGCGTCTAAATGCGTCTATACTAAGCGCGTCTTGAAAATTGTGGCGAAAACAACGCGTCCTTTTAAGTACAGTAGCTGCAACGCGACTAAACGCCGTACAATACGACGCGTTTAAGCGCGACAATTCAAACTTTTATGCAAAAGCGCGTCTAAACGCGACTTTATAGGTCGTTCCCTCAGATGCGTTTAAACGCGACATATTACGACGCGTCAGGGCGCGTCCGTTACATTTTGATTCAATAAACGCGTTAAAGCGCGCTTGAGAAGTAGTTTGCATCTTTGACGCGCTGAGATGCGTCATGTTATGATGCGTCAAGGCGCGTCTGTTACAACACGGTTCAATAGAATTATAGGATAGACGAAAAGAGAAAAAACGGTAACGTAAGACTCCGACGAGTTTCACTCGGTCGGCTTAAAGGAGAATTTTTTACGGTCAAACAGAATAAAGGGCTGAACATATTACAAGACCCGAGTGTCCGGACGAACGAAGATTTTAGAGGGTGGACCCTCGCAACTAACAAAGATTCCGGTAGCAGAGTTATGCGTTTTGCATGTATAGCAGAATATATAACAGGATAATGAATCAGCTGATATAAGAATATAGGAATTCTTCTTAAAAAATAGTCAAACTGTTTCTGCTATGAGATAATTAATTGTCACGTGATTCACTTTATAGTGAATATATGCTACAGTAGTGGATATGATGTAAGCTATACTATAGTAGAAGGATAATGAATCAGCTGAGGCATATAGGAATTCTTTCTGAAAATTAGTCAGACTGCTGTGAGTTTCTGAATCTTCAAGTTTCGTCTATGTACCGTTGAGTTGTTCTTTCGAGAACGTACCACATTTACATCGACTTTTTTCGAATTGTTCGAGAGTAACAGGACTAGTACAGCTCGGCCTCCTGATGACAAATATCACGTTTAAAAATTTTTGAAACAATGGCGTCGTGGCCGTCTAGATCTGTGCAAAGCCCATTTTCCATAAAGATAACTGATTTAACAGCAGCTAAAGATTGAATTCCCATTTTAAGGATTTATTTGTCAGCGTTTCGACGACTTAGTCGTCAGTACCAAGACGTGACTATGGAGTAAAATTTTACAATTTCTTTTTGTGAAATTTTACTCTATAATCACGTCCTGACCATAACCTACGTTCTCAAAAAAAATATTTAAAAATCTCGTGCTTTTTGTCCGCTAGTGATTTTCTAGCTCTCCACATATAGAAGCTAATCTGATGGTACCAGCTCATGAAAGTGTTTCACTAAAAAATGGTGAAAATGCCCACAAAAGGATGCTTCCGCTGGAAAATGGGATTTGCACAGATCTAGAAGGCCACGATGCCATTGTTTCAAAATTTTTTCAACGTGATATTCGTCATCAGGAGGCCGACTTGTACCGAATATATAATATATATAGCAGAATATATAACAGGATAATGAATCAGCTGCTATAGGAATATAGGAATTCTTCTTAAAAAATAGTCAGACTGTTGTGAGTTTGTAGATGTTCTAATTTCATCTGTTTATCGTTTCACTCAGTCGACTTTCCAATCTATGCACAGCATAGTTGGTCTCTAGTTAAGTCGCCTGAGTAAAACTCAAGCAGATTTATTACTTTTTACCCAGAAAAATTCTTCCTTTCCACAGTGTTTTCTCGTTCGAGTCAGACAGTCGTTCTCAGTTATTTCTGACCGTACAGGTTTGCGAAAAAGATGATTCGAAAGTGCAGGAATTGTAGATGACATATCTGAAGTTAGTTGTCGTATATTCGCTTTAGTTATCGTATAATTAGTGTCACAAAATGGGTGTATATTTCACACAACTCTATCGTTTCTGCAGTGAGATAATTAATTGTCACGTGATACACTTCATAGTGAATATATGCTACAGTACTGGGTATGATGAAAGCTATACTATTGTAGAACATATGACATGATAATGAATCAGCTGATATAGGAATATAGGACTTCTTCTTGAAAAATAGTGAAACTGTTATGAACATAGAACATAGACAACAACATAGACATGGTGAAGGTACAGAACCTAGACCAAAAACATTTGTGTATCCCTCATTTTACCATTACAGACTTGTGACTCTGTGGTAAATAAATCTGATCAACAAAACAAAAAGTGCTTAATGCACTTCTAGTTCGGAATGATATCCGTTATACAATATATAGGAACACTTTTTTGCATATTTTCTGTAAAATGAGAGTAACAAAAACACAGGTATCTTTATACACGTGTCTATCTTACAAATCAGATATTATATATACAACATCGGACGGTGAACGTACAGAACATAGACAAAAAGATTTGTATATCCGCTTCTATTGACCACACAGTATCTAAACACCTGTTCGATAACATATATAGAATATAAATTCTTAAGGTTTAGCCGTTTCATCTACCTCTCTTGCACGCTCGAATGATCTATTCCCCAAATCTGTACGAGTAGTGGTAGCTGAGAACAAGTGGCTGAAGCAGAAAGTAGGGTGTGGAAGAAAGAACTAGATGCCAGCTGCTCTACGGGCATATTGGACAGTCGACCGAGTGAAATGTAGCTTACGAGGGAACACCCCACGTGCCCCGCTCCGATTTCGTTCATTCATACATCATTCGATAGGGGACCTCGAGTAGGTAAAAAGCCTAAAAGGATTTCGGCCGACGGCTTTTCCTTCGAAACTTACGGAC